AGTACTCAGGATTAAAAAGCAGATAACCTTAATCTGAACATCCCTGACATCAATAAAATATTCTTAAGACTCCAGATCAAAGACACTTAACGTCCTAACATCTGGTACCAACTATACAGCAAACTGTATAACAAGCATAGTGTTCTGCTGCATGACAGCAAAAGACAAAATGATAATTTGAACAGTATTTCAAGGTCTGTGACCTATCTTTGGATGGTCTGGTAAAAGGGAGCAGTGTGTGGGCAACAATACAGACGGCCTTGTGAGAGAGTGAGGGGGGTGGTGGTGAATCTAGGGGATGGTGTAAAGTGGTGTTCACTGTTCTGATGCCTTAATTTTTCTGTGGGTTATGATTTCCAAGCAGTTCATACACAATTGAAAATAGGATGGGATTTATCAGGAAAGAAAATACTCAGTCAGCTACTCTCCAGGAGGCCAAATGTACAGTAGAAAGAACAACTCATGAAATGGTATGGTAGGAAACCAAGTATTTTATCTTTCTCTTAAAATACTTGCTTATTAGTTCTGTAGGTCAGGCTGGCCTCAATCTCCTGCGTCAGCCTCCCAGGGGCTGGGATTACAACGGTATACACCAGCTTTTAAAATACTACCCTATATTAAATGCTTGCTAGTATAAAAAGACCTCAGTGAGGTTGTAACTATGTGAAAAACAGCTGTAGGAGCTGGGCAGATGTCTTGGCAGAAGCCCTGGGTTCTAGCCTCAGCATGACACCCATCACCAGCACCATTACTACAAAGAAAAGAGAAGAAAAAAAAAAGAAAAATTGCTGTAATAGCTGTAGAAGAAAAAGGACACCTTGAAGGAAATGTCATCCCTAAACTGTAAGCTAATGACTTAAAAATATTTTGAAACCAATACATTCAAAACAAAAGTTATACACATTTATGGGGTACCATGCGATGTTTCTAACAAATAGTCCCATTGTGTAATGTTTTAATCAGGTTAAACATGCCCATCTCTTCACACACTTTTAGTTATTGATGTGTAACTTTTATGGTGAAAATATTATAAAACCTTTCCTTCTAGCATTCTGAAATATATACAACTACTACATTATCATCTGTAGTCACTGCTGTACAGAAGCATATTATGATCTTCTTAAACATAAACAGCCATGCGTGGTGGCACAAGCCTACAATCCTAGCACTCAGGAGGCTGAAGACCAGCCTGGGCTACGAGATGAGCTCAAGGCCAGCCTGAAGTGCATAGCGAGACCCTGTCTCAAAAAGACCCCCAAAACAAATGAACAAATAAATTAAAAAAACACTCCTCCCCAAAAAAAAAAAAAAAATCCAAAACCAAAACCATAAGTAATACTTATTTGCTCAGGATGATTTTTTTAAGGGTTTTTTAAAAATCAGATTTTATTGGTACATTTTAGATATACATAATGATGATATTCGTCATAGAGAATTTGTACCTGCACATGATATAACTTCTTTTTTCCCATTTTTCTACACTTCTTTCAACTCCTCCTCCCCTCCCTATTTACAAAGGCTTTGTTTCCATGTTTTCTTTCTTTTCTCATGGTTTTTTTAATTTTCATGTCACAACAAATTAAAAATTGGGTAGTATGTCATAGCCTACTAGCTTCTGTCACATAAAAGTTAACTCATTTAACGATTATAACACTCATGTGAGGAAGACAAAGTGAGACTACGTTTACAGATTCGGAAACCAAGTCGTTTAAGGTTCAGTGAATTGCTGAAAGTTAAGCTGATCTATAGCTGCAAAAGGACATAAGCCTAGGTTGCTGCCCATTGGAAAACTTTCAATACACTACTGTGTCCCTACGTTCAAAGATTCTTTCTCTGCCTAACTTCTCTTTGAGTAAGGCTCTCCAAACTAGGGAGGGAAGGTCTTTTAGTTCTTTCTTTCCTCAAATATTTAGTATAATATTCTGCTTTAAATGATTTCTAGAAGCAGCCAGAATATAAATTACAGAGAAAAAAGAAACAGAATTAAGATGTATTCCCAATTATTTTATGTGGGACTTAAACAGCACCCTTGATGCATTTCCTCCCTATACTTATTTTTTAAAGTTCTATTCCTACAATAGGATTAAATTTTCCCAACGTCCTAATTAATAATTTTTTTTTCTGCCTTTTTGAGACAGGGTCTCCCTATGCAGTTCAGGCTGGCCTTGAGCTCACTTTGTAGCCCAGGCTGGTCTTGAACTCGCAACAATCCTCCTGCCTCAGCTTCCTGAGTGCTGGGATTACAGGTGTCTGCCACCATGCCTTGCCTAATTAATAATTAACATCTGCTTATTTTCCCTCCATAGATAAAACACTATATTAGAGCTTTTAGGACTCAAGCTTAATTCTAATATCACACCAGTAATTCTTATAAATAGTTATCTAAAGTTAATATAAAGTTCATTATATTAAACTGAAAAGAAAGGTTAAGGGAGAGTAGGGGAATGGGGAAAAAAGTTGTATCATGTACAGGTACATATTTCCTATGATGACTGTGATTGTTGTATGTATCTAAAATGTACCAATAAAATCTAATTTTAAAAACATGCAAAATAAACCACCCTGAAATATTTTATGGCTTAGCTTCTTTGGGTTTAGTTCTGCAACACAAACAGCCATGTTTAATAAAACAAAATTTTCAGTTTGTCTTATACGGTCCAAGAGTATTCACGTGGCAGGGGACTTATACTCTGACCTCTTACCAAATGGCAGAACGCACGTACTTATCTGATACCTGACACACAGCCATTCAGTCTTTAACCCATTCAAGGACAGACAGCATTTCTTTGCAGACCAAGCCAGAATTACCCCTCTGTAACATTAGCTCAGTTATTTCAATTTCAGCTGGAAGATATTATCTTGAATATTGTACCTTTACTGAATGAGCACTTAAGCCATACTAGACTTGGTGCAGTGCTTTTAAACATTAACTTCTAAGAGCCTTATTGCTGGTACTATTACCAATTCTTTAACAACAACAACGAAATAATCTGAGATCATACTAGTCAGATATTGGTAGAGGTGGGGTATGAAAGCAGGTCTAAGTCTGAACTAAAGTACGATACCATACGGCCTCCCTGAAGTGCGACAAAGGCAGCTGGTAAAAGCTCTATCTCTACCTTAGTCTTAGCACTGAGCTATGATTTGTGAATGGATCCTGTGAGGGGTAGCTACAGCCTCGGCCCTCTGCTTTCTATCTTCTGGACTTGCTCAACAGCCCCTTTTAAATGTGGCCCGGACCTGAGCCCAGTTTGGCGACCTAGATCTCTAGCCTGCAAACACCTTAGCATATTTTCCTCTATTACTTTAGTACTCTAGGGCTCCCATTGCTATAGCTACTGGGTTACTGCTAGAGCTGAAAGGACGGCGTTGGTAGGTGAGGCCCAAATGTCTTAAACGATCATGGGTAAAATTTCAGGCAGCTGAAGAAATGTGGGATGCCTGCAAATCCTGAACCATCACTATGGGTTTCCTGCCAACTCTGGTTACATGCACTTAGCTGGGAGTCAATCCTCCAGTTAATGTGAGAATCACCAGTCAAGATGAAAGATGCACGGGGCATGGTGGTGCAAGCCTGCAGTCCCTGCACTCTGCAAGCTGAGGCAGGAGGATCACTGTGAGTTCAAGGCAAGCCTGGGCTACAAAGCAAGTTTGATAAGCTTTTTCCAAAACTGCACTTAAAAAAATGTCACTTTCATGAATCAAAATGTAAACATGCCTAATTTAATAATTTATATAACATATACAAACTCATCTACATGCTTTACTAAATGTTTTTATTCTGTTTCAAGTCTTCTTATTCAAATGTCACTGGTTCATAACTATTAATAGATACTCCAGGTTTCACACAGCAATTTTTAGTTAATAGGTACCTTCAGATTTCACAGGGAAATTTCAAGAAGGTTGAAATTAATTTTATTATTTGTAATGGTTGGCAAGTAACTTCTCTCCTAATAATGGCTATAAAAACAGGTCAGAAAGGCGTACTACTGAAGTGTATAAAACTGGAATTTACTTTAATTGTAGGTGCTACACGTTTATTCTATGTAGCTGAAATTCAATTTGTTGAAGCCAGACATGGTGGCACATGCCCACGATCCCAGCTACTTGGGAGGACGAGGCAGAGAGATTATATTTTCATGACCAGCCTGGGCAACATAGTGAGACTCTGTTTTGAAAGGAAAAATAAAATAAGCTTGTTACAACATTTCTAAAGGCTGATTAGTATTCCATCATGCATTGCCTCTACTTAACCATTCACTCCTATTCCTGGACAGTTACAGTTATAATTATCAAAAATTAGGAACAATGGGCTAACATTTTGGCATAACACATCTCCTTACATCTCTGATTATATCCTTACCATAAATTTTTTGGAGGGGAAGTACTTAAACATTTTAAAGGCTTTTGCTACATATTCATAAACTTCTTGTCGAAAGAAGTAAGAGTAAGTTACCAACTTACTCTTACAGACATGAATGAGAATACATGTACATGTCTCATCAAACTGTCACAGTGTTGGAATATTAAAAACCAACCTGGTTGTTCTAATTTGCATTTACTTAATTAGCAGGCTGGCTGAACATCCTTTAACATGTGTAACAGCTATTCCAGCATGTGTAGTGAGAGGGCCTTGCTTGGAAAGAGACTGAAGAAAGGTGCTAATCAGC